AGACAGAATAGAAGACCCCGGGTCTTCTAATGTGTCGATGGCTTTACAAACAGAGCTTACAACGGCATATATTCTAAAATCTAGAAAATAGGCAGGAAAATTGTTTAAAAAAATCAGGATTTTATTTAAAAATCAAGACTTGTTGAATTAAATTTGATCTTACTTTTTAAGACCAAATCTGCATAGAAGTGGATGAAACCATCATAATTAATTGAAATAAAAACATACGTTACCTTTATAGACGTCAAAACTATTTATGTTACATCCACGGACAAAATTTTTGCTTTTTTTTATTTCTATGTTATCGTACTTTATACGAAATTTATTATCGAGTAGAGACATGGTGTGTGACTTTTATTTCAGTGTGCTCTGTGCGCCATGCTGAAATAAAACTCTCATGTCATATATCTACTTGATAACAAACTTCATGTAACGTATGTTAGTAAAGAAATGAAGAGAAGGAAAGACTCTTGTCCGGTGGTGTATGTCAACCAACCGAAATTCACTGGTGGCTTTCGATCGCTTCATATAATATAAGTGATTCATAGAGAAGAGTGTGAGTGGATGTTTCTTTATCCATACAAATACCAACACCCACACTCAGTTGATCATCATTGATACAAACTTTTAACATATTCGATACTGTGTAAACTGCATAGGTCATTATTTGTCCATATGCACAACTCATATATGAATGAACATAGGTTTGCCGTGACATTTGTCAACCTGAATAATGCAATGGTTTGTTCATTTTCTTTCCAGATTCATTTTTAATCACCGTTTCTTTGAAATTCAGTTCGCGTAATGTAAGTACGGGCAACTTCTATCGCTAGGTTAGGGACAACTTTATGATGGTTTTGTAGGCATTAGTACCCATTTTCTGATGTTTGGTATACTTTCGTTTGTATGACTATTGCTATTTGTAGAAATATTGCTTGCGGCGGTGCGTTAAGCTTTTTTGAAAATTAGGCTTTTGATATTAGATTTGTCTCCTTCTCAGATAATGGATCTGATGTTCGAGATTTAGATATTCTTTTATTGGGAGCATTTTGTTTTTAACTGCCGATTGAAAGTGAGTGTAGTTGTAGATGTATGCTAAAAGTTGAATGAAGTTGTTTTTACTTCAAATTTTTTCTACATATAGAACACAGCCATTAGAATATCATGGTAATTTCAGTTAAGACGAATGTGTTATTCTTGAGATAACAAATCCGCAAAGCTGCTCTATAAAAGTGCTTTATTAAATTTTGTTATAATTCTATTTTAAAACGGAAAATCATTCTCTTGTTAATATCTAATTGAAATGTCCTGTAACCTTAGATCTTTACAGTGTAATTTAAACGTGATTTAGTTTTCAAGGTTGTACTTTATACAATACGCTATATGACACTTAATCTCTCCAAACTTTTTATTGTCGTCTTCTCTGCAAAAAAACAATATTTGCTGGAGAATCTATACGTAAAAAATAGTTCTGTGAGTTGAAATGGATGAGAAAAAGCTGAAAATAAAAATTACGTCATACTTTTTAGTACCCGTTACATGTGATCCTTGATTTATCAATGAAAATTCCAATGTCGCATCGAATGAAATTACAGAGGACCGAATGCCTACGGAATTCGCGTCAGCTATCAAACCGCATTCGACAAGAACTTAGTCAATCAGCATCGTGAGGGTGTGGCTGTTGATGTGGGTGAACTTAATATCTACATAACATCCACATTCATAAGAGCTTTCTTGAGATGCCATGTTAGAGTGACTATGGTTGAAGACTTCAAAAAATAGTTTTAAAAAGAAAATTTGAAAGGATAAATCGAAAATGTGAAGCGATGATTATCTTTATATAGTAAAAAACAAAAGTAAAATATAGGGAAGAAATAAAATAAATAAATTACACTGGAAACGAGGCAGACTTTTACTATCCAAACCGATGTATTCACCAAATAGTTTGACTTGTGCAGCTGATAGGACATCGCAGTTAGGATAAACATTAATAAAAGCAGCAGTAGTTATATTTATATCAAGGACAAGCGTTTGATCCTTTGTAGGTGAATATGGAGGCCATGTTAAACTTATATTATTGTTCGGTTGATGTTTTGTAATCATATTTGTCCAGTATCTGCGAGTAGATGTGACTAAACTCAATTCATTGGGTAAAAACATTTGATCACCATAAAGTAAAGGCGATGCTGTTTGAAATAAATTCAATAACTCCGCCGAATGATACGCTCCTGGCCAAATAATCAAGCTTGGTAACGATAACCAAAAAGATTCTGGTGCATGATTATATGTATAAAGATATGTAGGTTGATTAGCCATATATCCAGCCATACGACGAGCACCACAAATAAAAGCTCCTTGAGACATCAATGCAACGAATGCTTTCGAATAGTTACCATTGAACAAATTCGGATTATATAGAGCTTCAATTTCAGATTGATTGTAAGTCATTATCGGTAGAATACGGGTTAAGTAATCTTCTGTACTGTTTGGTGGATAAACATACTCTTCATATAGAACACGTAAAACAAATTCATCATGAGTCACTCCCAAAAGTGTAGGTACACGATTAAAAGTACCTGTCAAGAAGATTTGTAAAGGATGAGTAGGTATTTCTACTCCATCCACAATAAAATTGAAAGGATATACTTGAATAACTTTAAGTTGATCTTTAAAAATTAATGATGTCGATAATGGAATTGATACATTAAGCATGGTTGTTATGAGTTGAGTACTATTGATATTTCGTAAACAAGCCAGTTGTTGAGTCGAATTTGTCATGTTACATCCAACACGTGATGCGAGATCATTTGTTATTGAATAAGCAAATTGTTTGTCGTACATATAAAATGGAATATCACAAGATCCACTTTCCATTATTCCAGCATGAAATAATCCAGCAGATAATGGTGACACAATATGAATGCAAACTGAATAAGATCCTCCAGATTGACCAGCTAGAGTGATCGAATTTTTATCACCTCCAAATTGTCCTATATTATCTTGGATCCATTTCATTGCCATACGTTGATCTGTAATACCTTGATTTGCAATAGCTTGCCCATTTGCATCTGTCAAGGCTGATTGAACGAAGAATCCCATAACATTGAGACGATAGTTAATACTAACTATAATAAATGAATTATTCTCTTGAATAGCTGCATTTGTCCAACTAAGTCCGTCGTAGATAATCTGTGTCGAACTGCCTTCTTGAAGTCCTCCTCCATGAATCCACAACATCACTGGATATCCTCTTGATGAGTTCGAAGGCGAAGTACGAGGCGCCCAAATGTTCAGATACAAGCAATCTTCATCAAATAGACCTGAAGTAATACCTACTCGCTCGATTTGAGGACACGATGGACTATAATGCGTAGCATTTTGTATTGTACTATTATTGATGTCAGTTATGACATAAGGTTGAGCTTTTTGCCAACGAAGTATTCCAATAGGTGGAGCAGCATAAGGAATTCCAATCCAGACATTTGTCTGACGAATAGTAAATCCTGAAAATTGACCCAATGTTGTAGAAACAATTGGCGAACCTACAGATTCGTTAGCAAACGCGTAAAGATCACCTTTTAACCCAAAGACTGTTGCGAAACATAACGTACAGAATAGACACACAAGAAACATATTCACATAAACGATCATAGATGAAGTAAAAAATAAGTGAATATCAATTGAATTTGGTTTCTTTAGACTGGTAAGAGCTTGATAAGACAAATGTTGATATTAGAAACGGCTATCGTAATCAAAATACAAGTATTGAATTATATGAAAAATGATAAGAACAACGCAATATACACCTGAGAAGGTAATTATAGAAAGAAAGAAAAAAATATGGACGTCTTTTTTGTATCAACATTCACATGAATCACCATAGGTTTGTGCACTACCAGTGCAAAATATTATGAAAGAGCTCAAGGACAAAAATCGATTACTTATGCGTAAAGAAGATTGCGAGCTTATGCAAAAGTAATTGGATTTAACTATCTGTATGATCTCACAATATTCGGATCGTTGTATGAATCTTAACCAAATGCTTGTTGAATCAAATAAAACCTTGCCAGTTATATCCTGGTTGCTTCTTTCTTGTAAACATTGAAAAATCTATCAAAACTTGTCGATAATGTTTTTTTTAAAATAAACACAAATTAAATCATTCTAACTTGATTAAAGCTATTTTGGATAAAAGAAATACACTTCTACAGACAGTTAGAAAATATCAATATAAAAAAAAACAACAAAGTAACAACACGTGTAAATTCTTTCGTTCTTATACGTGTTGTTACTTTGTTGTTGTTTTTTTATATTGATATTTTCTAACTGTTTCTAGAAGTGTATTTATTTTTGACTGATAATGTGAATGAAGTTCATGAACTGTTTCAAACATGATTAAAACGGTATCTATAATTTTTTGATTCATTATCGAATGTATTCATCGATTAAAATTAAAATAAAATGATTCACTATTTTTGAATAAGGTAATTCTTTAACAAAGTAGTTTTAATGAAGAAAACCTACTTTTCTTTACAGTACACTTTTCAAAAGAATTGGTTCTCATAATCAATAAATAGTTCTAGCTATTATTGATATGATGATATTTATGAGCAAATTTTTGAAGTTAAAGTAGTGTTGTCACCTAAGACGTCATCACAATGCACGTCAAAAATATCGAATTTCATTTAAAACTAGATTTTTTAAAAACAAGTATTATTATTCCACGAGACATCGAGACAAACTATCCCAGTGAGAGAATGAAACACAAGAAATTTTCGCTTAAGAAAACAAAAACATAAATCGTCTATCGTTTTCTTGATTGAATTATGCTTGAATGAAAAAATTATTTTCAAATTCGATTGAAATTTTGCATGAACTTCTGAGATAGTTAATTATTCTTTGAAGAACTTTTACAAGATACGATCCAGAGTGAGTGTGGATTACAAACAATTTGATGATTTTATTGAAAATCTTTTGACAATGTCTGTTAAGAAATGATACATACATAGCATGTAATAAAGTAACATTTTAATTTTAGTTTATCAGACATTTGAAAACAAGTTAAAATAGTTCTCGATGATATTTGTCTTCAATTACCTAGGAATTTTAAAGAAGTTTTTTTTGCATCGATAAAGTAAATTGATATTATCATTCTTTTTTCTTATTTTCAACAAATAGTTTCTAGATGACAGTGAGAGAAATCGATGGAATCCACCATTTTCACAGAAGATCTCTGTTTTATTTGATGAAAAAGAAAAGTTCAAAAGTAGAAATGATAAAACATGTGAAATTATAAATAATCAGAAGAATGAAATTGATCTAATAGTCAAATAAAACTATCGATAAAAATTCGTGTCACAATTGATATTGCGTTTGTTTTTTGTTAACAAAACTTCGTCACTTATCAAATATATCTTTCTTAAAGATATTCAATAGAATACATTATTAACATATGTTGTTTTTTTTTGTTGCTTTTGTATTTTTTGTATTAAATGATCGAAAGTTACCACAGTAGACACAAAAGCCAGAAAATGAATATTGAACAAGTATAAGAAAAAAAACTTCAAATAAAAGTCGCTGACTTCATTGCATCTATTTCACATATTTGATAATTGATTACGTTTGTTCGAAAATCTTTAACTTTAACATATCGATATTCAGATACATTTACGGTGAAAATAATTTGGTCTAATTTATATGGTTACATATGGTTCGTCTCTTTGATTTGCCTGCTTGTGCTGTTCATTCTGTTCTTCTTAGATAAATAATCGAAATTCTCTTGAATATTCGCCTTATCCATTATTTTTGTCACTCATTCCGGTTAACATAAATATTTTCAAAAATAAAAATGACATTTCCCTTAAAAAAATGAATCAATTTTAATGAATTGATTCGCTGTGTTGAGGATGTGGGTGTGGGTGTAGGTGTACGTGTCCGTGCAGTGAAGAACCACACACAACAACGCTTATACCCACCCACATCCACATCCTTTCCAAATTCTTTTTTTTTCAATTTATTTCTAAATAAATATTAATAAAAAATGAATCGGGCTGACAAGTTTTACATTACTCTTATATAAGTATCTGTTTTATAATTCCACATTAGTATATTAAATAGATCATCAATGAAAATCTCCTATGTGGAATCTAATGTAATTTAATTTACAATAATATGAAAAAAAAGTCAAAAAAAGTTATTGCTTGTTCAAAACATAAAGAAATAAATCTACTAAATACTTACGGGAAATAACTATGGCAACTGCCAGTGTATTAATAAATCCTTCTGGTCTAATTGTTAAATCAATGCAAGAACCGATAGACCATTTAGCTGAACTTGTATTACAAGTAAAGCCACATGATGGTGACTGAATAGTTCTCCAATATATACTTTGAAATAGATTGTAAATATACTATTGGTTACAGCCTGTAGATGATTCTCTTCATTGATATGATTGTGTAAATATTACAGGAATAATTGAACTTGTCTTTATATTATTCATAGGTTTCCATGAAATTGTTTCTCCCAAAAAATGAGTCGATTGAATAAAGGTATAGTTAAAAAATAGAAAAATATACGCGACGATAATCAACATCATTTTTTTATTTATCAATCAAGAAAAAAAAATGTAAAAATATTTAATCTTTTCTTCAATAACTGAATTCAATCATAATCGAATTTAAAACTACAAGTATAGATCATCATGCATTTCGAAAAGAAAATGATCTAATCTACTTTTAACAAAGAATTTTATTTCAAGACAGAAATTTATTCAGACAAGAATAACATGTTTTGTGGTGTGTGGTTAGTATCAGTTCTTCACCCTCACTCCTCACTCTCACACCCGTTGTGTACCAATTAACAACAGTTATTCGCTGTTACTGTACGACTTTTTCTGTAATACCCGTTAACTTTGTACTTCATACTATGCAGAATTAAATCCATTGAACGAGATCGAGCGTGTTAGCTTTAAGTCTTACTTAAATTTTTTGAGTTTGTAAGATATTTGTGAAACCTTTTTCTAACACATTCTCATGTAAAGTTTTGCTGTCCTATCATTAATGATTGTCTACATACATAAGTCAGTAATAGGAAATTTATAGTCCTTTTTAAAAATCAAGAAAAAAGAAAGAATCTATCTTCTATTTAACAATAGTAATGAAAAAATTTTTGAATGCGATAATTATTATAGTCTGCTACGTATATATTGAATTGGGCGTCAACAGCTACTGAAAAAGGTTTACTTAGCAGGTTAGAATTGCTACCAGGTACAAGAGTAACACCGGCAATTGTCGTGCCGTTGGATTGACCGGCTTGAAAAAATTGTATACGATCATTATTTACATCAGCCACATACATATTTCCCATCCAATCAAATGTCACGTCACCAGGACTGTTCAGTTGTGTTGATGTAATACCAGCCGATCCGGTAACTCCAACCACCAGTGTCCAATTACTGGCTCCTATTACCCAACGAACAATAGTATGAGAACCAATATTGGCGATAAAAAGACTATTTGATGATGAATCGAAGTAAATACCTACAGGGAAATATAACTGATTCGTAGCGGTTCCTGCTCCATTTCCACCAGCAACAACTTTGCCTGATGTTGTATTCGATAGCAAGTATTGCACGACACGATGATTGGCATAGTCTGATACGTAAATTGTACCTGAACTCCAATCACTTGCAATACCATGCGGTTCATTGAACTGATCATTAACAGCTCCTGCAACGTTCATAAACATATTTTTACAAAATTTTTTCAAAAGATGAAAAATTCAGTGGAAAAAGATAGTAAGAACTTTCGCAATACAACATCGATTTAACATTTTTCAGCAATAATAATGCAAAAAAATCAAGATAATTTGCTGTCTAAAATGAGACGACAGATCATTTTCGCATTGAATTGAAAAAAAAAAAAACTATAACATATATTTTTTAAAAATAAAGAACGTTATTTTAAGCGAATGAGAACACTTCTCTTTTCTTTCCTAGTCGATGATATTTAGCAAGGACTTTCAAAAGAAAATATTTAACAAAATACTTACCAGTACCAGCGATTAATGTGCCATTAGATGCATCACTAGTCCACTTTACAACTCGATTATTGAGTCTTTCTACTACGTAGATATCGCCGTTGGGAGCAACTTCTATATTAGCAGGTTCCATCAAATAATTTAATCCGATACCAGTTGCTCCGTTTGACTGGCCTGCAGCTGTTGTGCCATTTGGAGCATCCATCAACCATTTTTGCACTCGATTATTATATCGATCAGCAATATAGATCGTATTCGATGAATCCACTTTGACACCAAATGGCAGACTGAGTTGATGTGGTGTTAAACCCGGAGAAAGTGTAATACCAGCTACAGTCTTACCTGTTGAATTCCAACAAAAAGTGATAACGGTAGCTGCAAAGAGAAATAGATGATATCATTTCTTTTTACAGGAAATATTTATATGATGATGATGATGTCAATCGGCAACTACATTAGCTCAATGATTACTATAAAAATAATCATACTTTCTTCGTTTCTTTCCTCATATATGATTTGCTAATTTTTATGATACAAATATATACATGTTATCAAAATAATAATATAAATTTTGTACAAAGTATCAATTAGAGTCTCTTTCAAGATAGTTATTACTTATTTTTTGCAGTTATCAGAGATGAACTAGACTCGAACACATGAACCTATTGTTTCATAAAATTTCGTGTTTCTAAGTAGATCACTAAGATTTTTCTATTATTTATTCTTTTCTAACTCAACTTTGAAGGCTTCTTAATTTAATAGATGATTTTTCATGTGATAAATAATATCTTAATAATAATAATTGAAATACAAATTCAAAGTAAATTTTATTCTTTGAAGAAGTTGTTATAGTTGTCAAATCGAAAGAGATTTATTTATATAATTTTAGTAAATTGTTCATCTATTTAAAATAAAATATGACTGGTAAATGTGTCAAAATTTTCTTAAAATATACACTGCTTTTTTCGATATATTTGAGTTGTTACTGGATAAAGAAAATTTTCTCGTCTAGGGATTCAAAATATAGATAAAGAAACAACTCGACTTCAAATAAATCGAATGATTGAAACAGATTTTTACTTGTAGTGCTAGTTGTAGTCACAGTTGTTGTACTGGTAACAGTAGATGTTGTTGTACTGGCAACAGCAGATGTTCTTGTCTGACCAATAATGGCCGTATAAATGCCTACCGCTATTGTTGCTAAAGCTAATGCAGAGAATGTAGCAAGACTAATAGTACATGGTAATGAGCAACATATTTTACGCCAACTAAATAATTCATTTCGTTTTCTAAAAATAAATATTATTTTTAATTGAAGAACAATATGCTGATATATATGTAATAACCGATTCTAAATAAAACTATTTTTACCTTTTACATTTTTTGGATGATGCCTTCATATCATCCACAGTCAAACTTGAATCATTTGATGTAAGATGATTTGTGAATGTTGTTTGTAGTCTGGATAACGAATAAAGATCAATAGAAATTGTTCGTGTTGTATTTGGATTGACATATTTTATTAATTGATCATTTCGATTGTTTATATCATCCTGAGTGGGTGTTACCTGCGACAAAGAACGAGGCTTTTGTCGACGCTTGGAAAATCTTGAAACATGTGTCACTTTGGTTGATTGATATTTAGTCATTCTCTATTTTATTAATTATTGATGAATTTAATTTATGCTTTTCTTATTAATATTATTTTAGAATGTACAAACTTATTTTACATATTGATTTGAGACAAAGAAATCTTTGAAGATATTATGCTGTACAATATTATTGTTTTATTTTTTAATTAAATTTTCGATGAGTTGCAATAGAAAATTTTTATATAGAGAAGTCTACTCAATCAATTTTTATTTTCAATATGATGATGAAAAAAAGATGCTTTTTTTATTTGAATGAATGTAAATGAAGGATTTCTAATGTAATTTTTAAAGAAATCTTTTTCAGATATACATCGTTATTGAAATAAAAAAATTTTTGTCGCCTAGATGTTGTCGTTATTGTTATATATTTCTTTTTCTATTCATTAATAATAAAAGTTTATTTTTGATCATATGAAATCAATTATTGATTTGTTTAAATATCAATCAGTGAAAATACTTTAATCAATACGGTTTTCAAAGATGCTACGGCAGACAAAACATGTTTTTTTTTTAGAAAGATTGATTAGATTTTTGGTCAGGCAGTAAAAGAGAAAAATAAAGAAATATTTTAACAAATTTTTCGTCCTTCATCATGCTCATGAAAAAAACAATTCAAAGTCTGTAAAGAAATATGTTTCGTCAGATTTGTTTCTATTCCTTGGCAAGAATCCAACCATACATACTGAAATTATTAGAAGTACTTGAAACAGTCGAGACTTAGAACCTGAACTCGTACGTGAGCATTATAACATTAGTTACAGCCAATATGAAAAAAAAAGGATCTCAAATCTTGGAATTGTAGTGGACTTTGGCATATTTTATAGTTTACTAGGATCTGAGAATCTGAGTTTTGCATTTTTTTTTGTCTTTAATGAATGGAACAAGCCAAAGTTGCAACTAAATGACGTGATATCTATTGTGAGTTTTCTTCAGTGGATTTTTTTCGTTTATAAATCCTTAGCTTCTGATGAGTTTGACTGATTTTTTTGTTTGGATTTTGTAGATCTCCGGAGATCCTATTGAAGATTTTTTTATGTTTTAGATGCAATGGAACATATCAGAATTCACTTTTCTTTCCATGATTTGATGAAAAAGAGAATATATGTGTGCAACATGAGCATTTTTCAAGTTCATCATCATTTATTGTTCTTGTTGCAGTTAGAATCATATACAAACAATAGAGCTGTACATTTTACATATAAAAATATCTTAGAATATATAAATTGAAAAGCTACTTTATTCAATAAGAATTTCGAATTATTGTTTTATAGTGAAGTTTTGAAGTATGATATTTAGATGGATATTTTTCAGACATTGAATGATAAACTATTCATATAATTCATTAACAGTTTTGGAAAAGAAAAATATATTACAACATAGATGAAGTTACAAATAGCAAATCTCTATCTATATCGTTTAGAATAATTCGTTGTTTAATTACTATTTAACTTTATTTATTCATCTAAAATTAGTTTTGATTTATTATATGATATGATGGTTTTAATTTTTTTCGAATTATTTCTGATGCACGAAATTTACTTTACATTGTAAAATATGATTTTGTATATTTTCACTATTATTATAAAATTTTAATGAATCTAAACTATATATAAAATATAAAGATGTTTTTGGAAATATACATGCCCATTGATATGATGCACCTTGTAATTATTGACATCCATGACAATGACAATATGTTGAATCAACGAGAAATTCATCATAAATAACATATTGTACTAAACCACAATAACATGATGCATTATATTTTATTAATTTATCATCTTGTTTTATATTAGAATAAGGTGGATCAGATTACCAATCTGAAGACATCTAAAAATAAACAAGAAAAGAGAAATAAAAACCATCGAATTAAACAAATAGCACATGTCATTATGCTACATACGTTCTTTTTGTGTATTACTTCTCCTCTTATATAAACATAAAAAAATAAACTATATACTAAAAATACATTTTATTCTGCCGTTAGCACTCATTCGAACTCAAATGAAATTAGATCTTGTTGCATGATTCTAGAATACAATGTCGATTGATATTTCTAACAACAAAAAACTTTCATGATGATGATCTGTCTTTTTTTTGCAAAAACAAACGAAATTTAATTGAAATTTCCCCATCGATCAAATACATTGTGCTTACTTTTTTGATAAATGACAATCTATTTTGCAATAAGAAAAGTAATCAATTAGAATTTTCTATTACAAAGATTTAAACAATTGTGTGAATGAATCTGAAGCATAAATTGTTTGATAGCAATAGCTACGTTAATAAGAATCTGATTTATTTGAGAATATAATAGATAGAGAACATGGTAACAGAGATGAGGTGACTTAATCCTTAAAAGCCGAAGAGGCTTTCTCTTATAACAAGAGGAAAATAACCACAAAAATAGAGATCATAGATCCTCAGTATACTTATACTATAGCAAAAAAGAATTACCTTACTCTTCTTCCAGAGTTACGCATTATCCTTTGGCAGGAATATTTAACCTTGTAAAAAACCCAAAGATAGGAATTTCGATCCGAGATTTTGTCCATAAATAGTTTTCATAATTCTTAACTTGTCCTGAAATTTCCACATAAAATGGATGCTTTCTTGTTGAGATATTTAATATCTAAAACAACCGGCTATATTTTTGCAAACAAAAAATGGTAAAAAACGACTTTTCTTCAACATTATATATCTCGAGAAGGAAACAACCATTGTTGCTGAAAATTTTGAGATATTCTAAAATATCATTAGAGTTATGTATGAGCAAAGTTTCAAATTAAAGCTTCTTTATTTCAATGTTTCTATGGAACTGAATATCCAATCTAAGGAACATTTTCTTTATGATGGCATAACTTATCAGTAGATCGGTTAAAAATTGGTGGAATGTTTAAGAATATTGCGTAAAATAAACAAGACTGCACGTTGCATTCATGATTTTCTTTGGAAGGGACATTCGGCTTCTAAGGTTTAGCTAAAAAATCAACTCCTTTGAGTGAATTGGAGTGGAAATATTTAAATTTCTTATCGTCTCGTTATTTATGGGTTATTCTCTTTGTCTTTTTCTCAAATATATAATTTTCTCCTGCAAATCTTCATCTTTTTCGAAAATTGCAAGATTATGGAACAGATGGTTGAAAAATAGGACTTTATAGGATTAATTGAAAAAATATACAAAATATAGAACAATTACGAAGATATATAGTTAATATTACCAAACTATTATGTTGTAAAAGATTAGAAAATGAATAATAATCAAAAAGAAAGATGTCTTATTATGCGAATATTATCAATTGTTTTAATGTAAATGAAAGAAGAATAACAAATAATAATACATTAATGTTGTTTCTGCATGAGAATGAGTGACAATCGATATGAGCAAACATTGCTACTGTAGCTATTGCATATTGAGAAACTGTTTGCCCATATTCAAAATCGATGAGAGCAATAGTATCAAGTGTGTCATGATATCCAGAACGTCTATAATTTTCATTGTAATTTATGTGTTCATTAAATAAAATACATTCAAAACCATATTCAACAAATCTAACTCCATCAGTATTGTATAAATATGAATAAGGATCACTCCACTTACGTATTACTGGCTGTAAGTTTTCTAAAATTAAGTTATTTTTTATATTTGGATAAACATAAGTAAGAGCTAGTTGCGCCAAAAGCATTGATTTAGTTGAATCACTCGGATTTATTTGAATAATAGGATCAGTTCGATTGACACGATGACTAATCATATCAACAATAACAGCAGTATAAATTGGTTGTTTTTTAACTAATAATTGTTGAAGAAAATAAACAATACCCAAACTAGCAGCTGGATATTCTTCGCCTGTCATGTGAACTAACCATATATCTCTACATGCAGTTTTTTGAGTTTCTTTTAATATCGATACGGACTGCAATAAAGCAACTAAACCACTAACATTATCATCTGCACCTTGTGTTGTTCGACGTTGTCCCGTATTGTAAAATGTATCCTTCTCAAATGCAGTATCAATGTGATCAATAAATACTACAGGTTCATTACATTGTGCTTTACCTGCTGGAATAAAAGCAATAAGATTCGCTTGAGTTATATTTCTCCATTGAAAATATTGTTTTTCTGTTCGAATATCCATTTTTTGATATCTTTCAATAAGATAATCAATTAAATCTAATAATTGATTATTCGGTTGTATAGATGATTTACGTGTCAAATATAGTTTTGTCTTATTTTCATATTGAAGTGGTTGTTTACCACTAAATTGATGCATATCAAATGTCCAATCTCTAGCAAATGTTATTGGCCAATAAAGATTTTTGTACCAATCATTTGACATCAACATTGTTTGATTTATTTCATCCGATGAAGGTGATGGAATAATATACCAGACAATATTTGATGGCCAAATTATTTCATTTTCTTCTGTAATATTAACAAATAATGTGTATGATTTACCATTATTACGAGCCGGTTGTGGTAATAAAACACAAATATTATGTCTCTGTTCTTGTTGAAATGCATTCATTTGCTCAACTGGTAACCAACCTTGATAAATAGTTGTTGTTTGTTTTTCATCTAATGAACTTGTATAATTGTTCGATGTCCATAAACAATCGCCAAATACTGGCTTATCAGTCAATATTGGAAATTGTAACATATCACTAAATATTTGAAAATTATCTTCTGGATTTGATGTCATTAATAATTTTGGAAAATATGGTTCAGGAAATTGAGATGAATTTAGTGGAGAATTAACTGAAGATTCTAAAATAATTTCAGATGAATTAAACCATATCCAATGTGTATGATTAATAAATGCTCTAGCATATACCCATGTATAAAATCCATATGCACCCAAAGTTGGCCATAATTCAATCGTTGTTATATTAAATTGTTTATATTGATTGATAATCGATTTAATTTGACTATTTCCGGCAGATTCTAATGATTGAGGAATATACAAAGTAGCTGAGTCTGTCAAATTACAATAAATGCTATGTGTACCAAATTCTAATTGGACTGGTTTACAACCCGTATACAAAGGAATATGTTGATCATCACCTGATATTATTGGTAGTAAATAATGTTTTTCAATTGTTACATATGAAGATAATGGAACTATAGTAGATACACTATGCTTCAAATATAATATGAAAAATATAGTCAAGTAGAGCGACATGATTTATGGTTGTTACTTCATTTTTAATGATATTTATATACTACTATCCTCTTTTTACATTATAAATATATTTGAATAAGATATTCAAGGTGCTTTGATAAGAAGATAATTTATTTTTCGTCTTTTTATTCAGGTAAAAAAACGTGATACTAGAAGCAGTGACCAGATTTATTTATTTGTTTGTATAAAATATAGAACTCGGTTAAGATAAGCTATATTTCATATCTTAGAAACTTATTTTCATTCATATAATACTTTAATAATATTGGATTTTGACAACATGATAACATATCCAAGCATTTACTTTTTTTTAAGCTAAAAAAGAGGGTGGGTGAGTGTGAGTCTACTCTTTATCCACATAAACACTTTCATACAGTCTCACACCCTTTTGGGAAGAAAATGCCCTTATCATCCCACCTCCTTTATGTCTGACTAATGTCGATGAAATAGAAACTTGTTTAGATATTTTTCATTAAAATTGACTTTGCTTTGATCCTTTGAAGAAATTTATTGAATTATTTATTTGCACATTTAGGGGCGTGTGTGTGGGCGTAGAATGTAGATGAGTGTGCTTCTTCCATTCTTTAAGACCCATATCCACGCACACCCACACCCACCCTATTTGATCACTATTTAACTCATATTATAATAATAAAGTTTCGATAAGAACTGTTTTTGTTGAAAGTTAGTTGGTAGCATTTAGATCATAATGGGTGTGGCATAATGAATGGAGCACTTTTGCATTTCATTTTATCATCACTTAATACGTTGTATTAAAAAAAACCAAAATATACCACAAGATGCAGCGTGAAAAGCTCTACAATTTACAAAGAACAATTATGAAAAGATGAGATAGAAAAAAAACAATCTCGTTTTCACAACGTCAAGATTTGATCGCTCAGAGTTTTCTTCATTTTGAAAACAAAAAGTGCAACTATAAAATAAACGGTCTTTTATATATTGCAGAGCTTTTCACGCTGCATTTTGTGGTCTTTTTTGTTTTCTTTTTAATACAACGTATTAAGTGATGATAAAATGAAATGCAAAAGCGCCCCATTTTTTGTGCCATACCCATTATGATCTAAATGCTACTAGCTAGTTTTCAATAAAAACAGTTCTTATCGAAATTTTATTATTATGATATGAGTTGCATAGTGATCAAATAGCATAGAAAAAAAGAGCGAAAGACGTTCTATCTGTTCATAGAAAAGAAAATTTTTTCAAGCTTTCTCTCAGAAAAAAAGTACCTGGGCCACTACTTTGGGATAACCCTAAGTAGAACATTTTAAGGTTCAGTATTACACGATTTTTTTGTTCAGAGCGGGTGTCATTTTGTTCTTCAACAACTCACTCACACGGAAACCTCACCCGGACCTGCATACCCACAGTCACACCCCAAAACAATGATGTTTTTCCCTTTTCAGTTTTTTAATAGTATTTTCAAGATTTCAGACCCAAAACTTGTTGAAAACATAATAAAACATACATATTCGGAATCAGCTTGATGAGCTCTATCAAATGATATGAAGAACAAGAAAAGATTTTTTTTGCTTAAGTTTTGCCCTTGGTGTACTTCAGTAATGTTTCAACTGCAGATACTTTGTCTGGATATGAATGATTCATAATTAAATTCGCATTTCAATGAGTTAGAACACTCTTAGGTAAAATGTGTCACAATTTTGTCGTAAGTAGTTGTGTTCAAATGTGTCGTCTACAAATTCGTAGCGTTTTGTCTGCTGAATATTCATTCATCATTTTCTTATGCGAATAGTTGTATATAAACAGCACGAATGAACATACAAAACAATTATTTTTCTAAAATATTTCTGGAATATTTTATTGCATAAGAACATGCCGATCTGGATCAGATATCCAGAGAGGATTCTTCTAAAGTTCTTTGATTAAGATTGGACAGACTGAAGACCACACAGATTCCGAGATACGATCTGCATGAGTTCTCCGGATAGGTATAATAAAATAGAATTAAATTGAAAGATGCAATTTTTCAAACAATTCTATATAGAAAACTGACAAAACGATGGTAGTGTGAGTCATATTTTCTCATCAACGCTAACAGACAGCGATGATCAAGGAATTGTTTTCCTAACGTATAGTAACTGTTATGTGAATTGAATAGTTAATGAACAAAACGTAAAAAACCAATGTCTAAAACTAAGTATCAAACGCAAATAGAACTGGCCGATACAAATCGATTAAATTGTTGGAGAACTGCTCATCTTTTATTGAACGAACTCTTTAAATATACTGTCTAGCAGAAATTATGTTTACTTGTTCAAAAAATATGAAAAATGAACGTAAGGTTCGATTTGATAGATAAATCTGTGCTTCTAGGTTAGAATTACCTGTCAAGAGCAGATTTTGATCGAAGATTATCTTCATAATCTGCTGTTATTATCATTAAAATCTGGGGAAACCAGGTAGTAGTATTTTTTACATTAAGATGAGCGCATTTTCTCTATATGATTTCTATTTAATGAAAAAATTATCTGTCAGTACTGTGCCATGAGGCAACTATTACACAGTATAAAAGAGATATGTCTTCTCATATATTGTCATTCGATATAAAGATTCGAAAAAAAAAACAATCGCACGTACGGTACATATTTTTGTGAATTATAAAACAAAACAAGATGGTAGTATCAATAGAGGATCTTGTTCGAGGTGGCAAGTATGTTAATACAGTGGCCGGAATCTTTTTCTGGTTGTTTGGTGTCATTGGATCTCTCGCAATTCTCATTATTTTCTTATCAAAACGGCAACTTCGTCGCACAGCCTCTGGTCAATACATTCTCGTTGCAGCAATGTTTGATCTTGTTTTTCTGGGTATTGCTCTTGGTTATCGAATAATGACCGATGGTTTATCGGTTCAAGGTAGCTTTGCTATGTTTTTTTTTAATACATCCGTTTGCAGAATTCGAAACTATATAACTGGTGTGACCAATTTCGCTACCTTGTATACAAAATGTTTTTGTGCCTTCGATCAATGGGCAGCAACTAGTCGATCGGCCAATATTCGTCGATTCAGTTCAGAGATGGGCAACTCCAACTCCGAGTTGGAGTTAACTCCGGAGTTGGCGCTTTTTTTCATTGGAGTTGGAGCGGAGTTGGAGTGGAATTTCATAATCCATGGGTAGAGTTGGAGCGGAGTTGAAATGGTATGGAGCGGAGTTGGAGCGGAGTTGGAGTGGGATTTTGCAATTTGTGGATAGAGTTGGAGCGGAGTTGAAATGGGGCTGGAGCGGAGTTGGAGTTGATGCTCTTTTTTACAACTCCGATTTAACTCCTATTACTTGCCAGAAGAGAACGGAAAAAATCAATAGTAAAAACAGGCGTGCATGCATCTAGTATTCATGACGCAATTAAAAGATCTACAAATAGATGACCTCGTATCATTACATCGAGAGAGAGAGAGAAAAATAGAGACAGAGAGAGAATTTAGAAAGTCATTTGCGACGTGATTAAATATTAACTGGTAAACAATTCGGTGCATCGAACTTATATCTTACTGATTTTTCATTATTTGTGAATAATCTAAATGCAAATGGATTCATCATCTAATATAACAACAATTGATCTGACACTTCCAACAGCTGATGCACAAACAAGTTCTTCCAATGATGATAAAATTTCTTGCACAGTTAAGACAAAAATTGGTCGTCATGGCCTTGAACAATATTATGAAGATTTTAAAGAATATAATGCAGGTGATTTGAAAGGTAAAACATCTGCCATCTGTATTTTATGCAAAGAAATGGTATGGCATGTAAAAGGTTCTACATCGAATTATTATCGACATTTACAACGTAAACATAAACCTGAATATGATTTGTGGTCAAAAAATGAATCACAAAAAAAAAATGAAAATAAATTAAAACAAATTTCTTTAGAAGATAGTTTATCTTCATCTTCTCATACGTCAAAGTATGGATCTTCTCATCATCGTCAAGTTGAATTAACTAAAATGGTTTTTGAAAACTTTATAATTGGATTAGATTTACCATTATCGATTACTGAAAAACCTGCATTTATTCAAGCAATGATGATAGTTGATCCAAAGTTTCGTGTTCCATCTCGACGATCAATTGCATCTGATTATTTACCAAAAATACACGAACAGATTACCAACAAATTGAAACATGTATGTTCATCAGCTGATTTTGTTTCGTTGACATTTGATGGTTGGACAGATCGTCGTATGAGAGCTTTTTACGCCATTACAATGCATTATATCGATCATATGGGTCAGTTAAAAGCACACTTACTCGCTTTTAATCCTCTTTCTGGTAAGATTTCTTATTTGATTTATATTAACATTAAAGTAGTTTCTTATGAAATCACACAGAGGCTTATGATAAATGTTTCCTTTATCTTTTTTGTTCATTCAAAAATGAGCAAGATAAAAATATCATGAGCTCAAATTTGAATAAATAAATATTTCATACAATATTAATAACGAACCTCATTCTTTTGTGTATTCCAAAGATGTTTTCGAATTAAAAAATATTTTATAATTAGAATTCTTGTTATATTTTAAGAAAGCAAGTGATATATCTTCAAACACATTCCACAAATCATTTTATATACAAGATAAAGAAGAATGAATCTAGAGATAGAGAGATGAGAAAGAGAAGAGAGAAACAGAAGAGAAAGTAAGGACAAATGAAAGGTCATGTGAGGGCATGTCCTTAGTTTGAATACTATATACATTGATTTAAGAAAACAAAACGAGTGTGAATTTTTTTTTTCTGATAGCTTGTGTTTTATACACAAAACGACTGCATAAGAGAAAAGAAAGTAACCATTTGTTTTGTAAAAGAAAAAATAAACGATCTATTATGTGTCTACTCGTGCGTAGACAGCATATAAGAATCAGAAAGTAAAATAGAATATGAAGACAAGAAAAAAAAGAAATTAGAGTCATCCTAGTGGACACAACTATATCCAACAAAAATTAAAAAATAAAATAGACAGTAATCTCTTTTATTTGAATGAGAAAAATCACTCGTTTGTGAATTCGACTACGAATAATGATCTGTTTCATACATAAATTAATAAAATATTGTAGGTAATCACACTGGTGAAAATTTGTTTATGGAATATGATCGTGTTTCAACAGCATTTTCAATTGGAAATAAAGTTGTTAGACTTATAACAGACAATGCCTCAAATAACTTATCTGCTTTTGGTGAATTAGTCATACCAGGGTTTGAGTCATATTTCATAACTGAAGATGATACAGAAGGAAGTGATGATAATGATGATCAAAATGAAATAAATTTGAATGTGTCTGAAGGACATCCTCCTGATGATGATGAAGGTCAAAATGAATTTGACAAACGAGAGGAGCTATTAAGGTTGCCATGTTTCATTCACACACTACAACTTGTAGTCAAAGATGGCTTAAATGAAAGCGCATGCACTCGGTCTGCAATGGCAAAAGTGGCCGAGATTGCAAAATTAAGCCACAAAAGTATTCCAGTAGCCGAAAAGCTACAGGAGTTTAAACTTAGTATTCCATTAGCTATCATAACTAGATGGAATTCACAGTTTATTACAGTTTCAAAAATTATTGATATACCTAGTATATTTCTAAATGACCTTCTGACAGAACAAAGAAAACCTGAATTAGTACTGTCAATGAAAGATTTAGCTGTATTACGTGAATTTATATCAATTTTCACGTTACTCGTCGAAGCTACAAATCGAACACAAGCTGAACAATGTGTATCTATATCACTTGTGGCACCAAGTGTACTTGGAATTTATTATGATTTAGAAAATGAATTAAAATTATGCAAATACATAAGTTCATTATGTAATGCACTTATTATTTCATTAAAAGAAAGATTTGGTGGACTTCTTCTTAATCTTGGAATACCTGTCGATGATCACATAAAACGTCGAAGTACATTCCACCTGTTTTCGGACGACATATTCCTTATTTCTTCTTTTTTGGATGGACAGTTTCGACTTCGTTGGATATTACAATCTCCTTTATCTCAAGATATAAAGTAAGTACCACAATCATTCTTAAATATTTTATAAGCTTTCAGCCTTTTTTTATCATCTTTCCTCCTTTATTGGTTGATAAAATTTATAAAAAATATATAAAATCTCTAGAATACATTAGAAATAAAAAGTTCGTATATTTATTGTTTTAGAAATCGTTTGTGTGATAAGATAAAACGTATTGTTGCACAAGCAGCTTTTCAAGTTTATGATTCTGTTAGCAATGTTCAAACTGCTGATGGTGCACAACCAGAAACAACATCAACAGCTATTGATAACAGTCAATCTGGTGGAAAAAACTCGTATGACAATAGTCTTACACCAAAAAGAAAAAGTCTTTTCGCTTATTATGAAACATCACCAATGCCTCCAAAAAAAATGCGTATTAATATTATGGATGAAATAAATGAAGAAATAATGTTATTTTTGAAAGATCAACGTTATGAAACTGATCTTATTTTTATGAAAAAGAATCATTTTCCATATTTACATCGTTTAGCATTGAAAGTGTTATGTGTTCCAGCTACATCTGCTCCAGCTGAACGAGTCTTCTCGCAAAGTGGATTACTCATGAGACCTCATCGAAGTCGACTATCAAAGGACATGTTGTCTAAATTAACATTTGTTAAATGTAATCTCGACTTATTAAATTGATATTTTAAGTACATATTAAAACTTCTACAAAAGAACAATGAACGTGCAACTCGTTGATATTATTCATACATTTATATTGAAAAACTTTGTTTTTAAATTTGTATTCAAACAAGTTCCACTTAGTAGAATTGGAGTTGGATTGGAGTTAAATCGGAGTTGGAGTTGGGCTTTAACTAGGTAGAGTTGGAGTTGGAGCGGAGTTATAAAAACCAATCAGGAGTTGGAGTTGGAGTTGGAGTGGGACTTTTGAAAATAGGAGCGGAGTTGTGCGGAGTTGGAGCGGTACATAGATGGAGTTGGAGTTGGAGTTGGAGTGGGATTTTTGAAAATCGGAGCGGAGTTACCTGGAGTTGGAGCGGTACATACCCGGAGTTGCCCATCTCTGATTCAGTTCTATTAAATGGGCTCGAATATTTCTTACAGTAAATACACTCGTATGGGTACTCATGAATGTACCTCAATTGATTTACAATGATATAATTAAGGTAAAACGATGAAAACATAATGGTCTAATAGAAGATAGAAATATAAACAAATAATAGTAATTTCAATGAAGTTCTACAAAAAGACATAACAAATTATCAAAATATCATCAGTAGTTAATATTATAAAAAAGTGGCTGAGTATACTTTTTACGAACTTTTCCAATGTTTCTTTTTCTGTCTTCTCAGTCAGACTCAAAAGCTAAAAAACACATGTATTCGTAGGAAATTGTACGAACATAGAAGTTGTTTG